TGCAGGAAAAGTGAGAGGAAGCAGACAACATTCACCAATTGAACATGTTGTTTCAGATGCATGAGTGTAACTTAAAAAAAATCCTCTCACTTGAAAAAAAAAGAAGAATGGATGAATAACATTAACTGAAAAAAAAATTGAAAAAATGGTTGAAAAATGGAGAAAGACTGAAGAAGCATGTTGAAGGAAATAGGTTCAACATATGCAGTATCTAACAATTATGCGCACTAAGATGATCAATCAATCAAAAATATGATCAGCCAACGAAAACACTTTCAAAAGGAACAATTTGAAACTTGGGTATGATTAAGGTTACATAAGTATCCAAAATGGCTAATGAACATTGCGCATATTGCCCTCTAATATTGAATTCTATGCTCAATTTTATACATTAAGTTGTATGCCTCTATACCACTTTTAAAGCCATGCTACTCATGCACTATAACATTGTATTTGCATCTAGTACAGGAGAGAGACTTGGTAAAATTGAAGCAAAATTCAGCATTATCCAGAGATCTAAGGTATGTGCACTACAATTATTCATGATTAAATATAAAGTCAATGCACTTGAACCTATTTATTCCACTTGTCCCAAAAGATATTCATGCCCTAAATACTACCAAAACAAATATCTTCTTAAAAAGTCTTATCCCAATGTGATGGTCTGTGGTTGAGATGAATTTGATGGAGGACACCTCTACTTGGGGCCTTATAAATACAGATTAAGAAAGTAGAGTATGCTGGTTCTTAGGGGGGATATTTTGTATTGAGTAAAGTCTTGGAGGATTTACATTGTGAGGGAGAATATTTTGGAGACCCTATACTTAAACAAAGTTCACTTGTTAGGATCAACTTGGGTGCATCTAGTAAAAGGAAATCGATGAGAGATACATCTGTCGAACATAGTTCTTCTATTGGGAACCATATAAACTGGGATTTCGAATTGATATAAAATAAAATAAAATTTATAGTTGGTGCTTCAGTTGATAGTACACGTTCAAGGAACATATTGAGAGAACATGTTCCTTTAAGAGTGATATTCAAGAAAATTTGTTCCTCTTACTGACTCTATTGAAATTAAAGATGAGTGAACTATCGTTTCTGCCAAAAGAACATGATTGATTGAACAAGTTCCTTAAAAGTGAAAAAAAAGGAAAAAAAGGATTGAGCGTGCATAGACCAAGGTTAACTTTGAAATTGAGAAGGCTGCTAATTTTGTTAATCCAAAAGATATTTTTGCTGCTGAAAATGTCTTTTTTATTTATCCTCTCATCTTTTGATATTACCTAACCACTCTAGCCTTTGACTTCCAATTTTTTTTTCATCACAAGTGCTTGATTCTATGTTTAATTTTGATTACATTTGTGGTGTATATGCTTTTTAATTAATGTTGATGTTGGGTTTGAGTTTCAGGTTAATGTCTATCTCCTATGTTTATGCTAATTCTTTGTTTTATCTCATTGGGTTCTTGATTTTTAAGTGTTTGAGTAAGTGATAGCCCCAGTGACCATGAGTATAGAATTTGCCTAATGTCAAAAGGGGGAAGCAGTTGCATATGAGTTATATGTACCTATTCAATGCAAGCAGATAAAATTTGCCATAGTAAAAAAGGGGGAATTTGTTAAAATATTGTTGTTTTGAAGTATGGCGAAGTTAAGGAGTTGTAGTAGTAATATGGCAAAAGAAGGAAGATGTGTGTCTTATTTGCTGAGTTCGAAATGTATAATTGTCATCATCAAAAAGGGGGAATTTGTTAGAATGATAAAGATTTTGATAATTGACAAATACAGAAACAGATGAAAGAAATAGGTTGTACAGACGTGTTCCTTACAGAACGAACCCGACTTAGATAAGGAGAACGTCAACCACGTGAATTAGAAGTTATAAAGCTGTGGAATTATTATTTTTTCGACAAGCAACAAGTACAAAAAGTTTCCTTTTATAAAGGAGTTCAAAGCCAAGTGAAAGAAGGAAAACTAATTCCTATCTAAGGAAATCTATTTAAGGAAATTGTGTTTTCTTATTTATTAAGGAAATTTTGTAGAAAAGGAGTCCAAGTAGAAGTCAACAAGGATTTGTAGAAGGCAAATACAAGTTGAATTATACAAGGATTTGTTGAAGTTTTGATCTATAAATAGGGAGTTATTTGCATCAAAAAAAAATTTGCACTTACATAGAGAGAAGATCAAAACAAGATCAAGAAGTTTGAAAGAGTTTTGAGATTTATTGGGAGTGTAGCAATTGTGAGAAAAAATTGTAAGATTGTATTCAAGAGTTTTGTTTACAATCTGAGTTTTGTGAGTAGGAGTTGTTCAACAAGTTGTAGAACTTGAAGAACATTGGAAGATATTAAACCGGGGGTTTTTGTATCTTTGGGTAGCTAGAAATTAGAGTTTATAATTTCTTAGCTAGGAATTAGAGTTTATAATTCCTCTAGGAATTAGAGTTAATAATTCCTTAGGTTACATAGCTTTGTAATCTTTTGTTGAGACTTGAAATTTAATAAAGTGGAGTTAAATCCTACAGAGGTGTAGGTCGTGGTTTTTACCCTTGTGAGTTGGGGTTTTTCGCGATAAAATATTGTGTCATTATTTTATTTAATTTACAAAACGTAACTGCTGTAATTTCTCAAAGGAACATATAGAATAAACCTGTTCCTAAGGCGAATTTGGGGGTCAGAAATCCAACAACATGGAGTGAGGAAAAAAATACCTTATTAATAATAATTTCAAAGCTTAGTTTGGCAAGGCTATACTAGGCCGGGTTACATATTAAGTACTTCCTCCGTTTCAAAAAGGATGAGCTAGTTTGATTTGGAATGGAGTTTAAGAAAAGAAAAAAGATTTTTTAATCTTGTGATTCTAAATTAAAGTTATGTCAAATGTATCAAAATGTCTTTTAATCTTATGGTCTTAAACATGTCACGTGAAAAGTTAAAGTTTAAGTATTGCCAAAAAACGAAAGAGAAAATTCTTTTTTAAATAAACTAAAAAGAAAATAGATATATATATATATATATATATATAT